TGTGTGTGTGTGTGTGTGTGTGTGTGTGTGTGTGTGTTGTGTGTGTATTCCTCCTGTCTCAGCCTCCTGAGTAGTGGTATCACAGGCACATGCCTTCATGCGCATCCATTTTTGTTTTTACCATGCTTTCACTAGCATGCCATTCTTCTAAATGGTCCAGTATATACACATTTTCTTACAGAAACAGATTCTAAGTTTCATATKACCAAATTACCTTACCTTATACTGTTTTTTAAAAATATGTATTATTTTTTAGTTGTAGTGGACACAATATTTTTATTTTATTTATTTGTATGTGGTGCTATGGATCGAATCCAGGGCCTCACACATGCTAGGCAAGCACTCTACCTCTGAGCCACAATCTTAACACTATATATCCTCTTTTTAAAATATATCTATCTGATCATTATCTTTTTAAAATATATCTATCGGACATTAGTGTAATATAATGCATTCATTTAAGTCAGGTTCAATAGCTCTTTGTTGAATGAATGAATGAATGAATGAATGAATGAATGAATGAATGAATGGCTTTCCACCACTTCTTTAGATAGAATGACAAATTAGGTGTCTTTTTTGTCTAACTTCTAAAAGGCTTCAGTAAAAGTGACAGTGCTTCTTTTCCTAATCATTAATGTTGATATTGTGTTGAACTGGCTTTTATGGAAGGGAAAGCCAAATTTGCAACAACAACAAAAGYACGTTATTATTAGGTCTTCAAAAAATCTTCTAAACCAACTGCATTATCTGTTTAAATGCAGTACAGGTAAGATTTTTAAATACAATATACTGTGCAATTGAGAACCTCAGCAAAAATCAATCATTGGGTTGTATCCTAGGAACAACCTATTCTTCTATAGCTATGATATTCTTAAATCAAAATAAATAATTTGTTACTGAAAACTCTGTTTATTAATGGTTCTTAACCTTTTTTATTATTCATTTTGATCACAAAGTAATTTCAAATGGCCTCAAAAGAAATTATAATCATATTTTGTAATTAGAGCAAAAAGCAATAATATAGTTTCACTTTTGTTTATTAAAAGATTATATGTTATTTGATATCTCTATGTAGGTAGAAAGAGGAGAATTGTTATTAATTGTGGCCATGAAGAAGGTTGTACCACTCAATTAATTTTATTTATCTGTTTGTTTATTTATGGGAGTGGGGCCATTTCAACCCACATCTATTAGTGCTCATGTTTGTGAAAAAGATGTTTTTGAAGTGACAAACTTTAAGAAATGATAATTTTCAGCTTTTAATTGAATTCCTAAGCCAGGAGATTCAGTTTTCACTCCTTTTGAACAACCACAATTAAGACTGTTTTGCAAGTAGTGGGATTTTACCTGTAATAAATTTGTAGATATAATTGCCAGAAAAAGTATCAATTTGCACACACAGCTGCTCAAATTAAAAAGCTAGTACTTTGGCATGGGCTTACTGTAGTTTAGAGGTGGAAAGAATAAGTGTAGAAGTAAATTTTATGCATGCTATATGTGGATACGAGAATTTCAATTAGCATTAATAGAGGCTGTTCATCTTCATTCCACAGTTTTAGGTGGGTGCTTTTCTGTAGTAAATTACATTGACATTTTTTTCAAAGCAATTGCCTTCAAGGAATTCTTATTGCCAGTGTATTATGGGTCTTTTTATTCAACCATATATGAAAACTCTCAATTTACAAATATGTTATGRTCAAAAACTTACCTAAGTATGTAGACCAAAAATGTATTTGTTGTTGCCATTTGTTGGTAGCAATCCAAGTCTTCTTGTTCTTATTTTAACTATGTTCTGTAACAAAAAATAATTAATGATTTTTGTATAGGGTTACCTATGTTTTACTTCTACTGTATATAACTGTTCTGTACACCAAAAAACCTAGCATTGGAGATAAACGCAAATGTGCTTCTCATAGAAAGCTCTCTGGTGATGCTTACACATGGGTAGCATCTGTTTCTAAATATGAACTAAGGGGTCTTGTAGGACCTGCGTTTGAATTCTACCACTGTCAGTTGCTCAATTGTGGAAAGTTTTCTCAGCCTTTTGTTCTTGGTTTCCTCAAGTATGAAGTGRAAAAAATGATACCCACCTCAGAATATTTTTGTTAAATTTTAATGAGGTAATGCACAGAATAGGCATAGTAGAGTCACTAACCGMGTAAGTAAGCTACACACCAGGGATCCTCAAGCACCATCATTATCCACATTTTCCCAATGAGGGCCCCCAAAGCATTGTGGCTTATGTAAYTTACTCAGAACTTTCTGCTACTAGTGCTAAGCATTTTCTAGGTAAACTACAATTTGTAATTCATACTCTGAGAAAATTACCATGAATTCATACTCTAAAAATTGTTATCTACTTTTCAAGAATGAAACCAGTTGTTTTATTTTGTTTTGTTTTTACAAGGGTCATTTTAAAATTCTAGAATAGAAAATTTTGTGGAAGTATGTGAGGAAAAGTTTATCTCCTCAGAAACATTCTAAAGAGTGATCGTAAAAGTCCTTTATTTCTAGTCCCTTACTTTTCCCAGCACCTACCTCCCTACTGCTAAATTGTCTTCTGYTAGTTTGGCTCATTACATGACATATATGTTTTCTTTCTTTTTCAAAGGAAAACATTGTAAGGGATGATACAATCTGTGAAATGGATTGTTTTCTGCCATATCAAGAAATTAATTTTAATTAAATCCTTTAAATTTGTACTGCAAAGATTCATTGTTATATTGTAGAATATAACTAAAGTTTCTCATTGACAAGATCTTTAAGGTTCCATTCTTCTGTGTACAGTATACAAGAAGTTTAAAATTTCTAATTTATCTAAAAATATTTTCAGGACATTATATTACCATCACTTATTCTGCATTATATCAACTACGAATTGCCAATATTCTTATGGTTGTCCAAAATAAATTGATGTAAAAATAAGAACTTATTTTTATACTACTGCTTCATATCCATGTAACTATATATATTTGCAAACAATTTCTTTTTAAAATGTTAATAAGTTACTTGTATTTCACTTATTTAAGAATACACAGTGCAGAGAGTCTCTTATAAAATGCTTTTTTATAACTACTTAGACTTGAATTAACACTGGAATAATCCCATTGATATTGTTTTGGTCATTTTTGTCTACAGTCTTATTGAGTGCCTGATAAATGTAGGTGTTCTGTAAAGGTTTGTTAAATGATTTAAACAAACAAATGAAAGAAAATAACTTACAGTGTTCTGATTTTTTAGGATATTGAGAGTAGAAGTGTTATTTCTAAATTTGTTTTATAAACCATATAATTTTAGTATGCTCCTCTGCTAGTCATCTTCATTGTTTGCTGCGAACTTCTAAGTCCAGAAGTTTTAACTCATTCCAGCCATTGTCCCCAGGTTCCTTACCCTACAGTTAGGGCCTTCTCCTCTTCACTCAGCCTGTCCTGGGCCTTGGTAAAAGGGCAATTGATCAGAGAATTTTATAGTAAGAATACAGTCTCAAAATGTTCAGTTAGAAAATTACTCATTTCTTCATGGTAGAGAAAATGGAAAGTGTATTATATTCAGTAAGGCATAATAACTGTGAGGTTTTGTTTTATTTATTTATTTATTTATTTATTTATTTATTTATTTATTTATTTATTTATTTATTTTTGTAGTACTATATATTGTACCATTGAGCCACGTCCACATTCCTTTTCATTTTTTATTTCAATACATGGTCTCACTAGGTTGCACAGGGCCTCATTAAGTTGCCAAGGCTGGCCTTGAACTTGTGATCATCCTGTCTTTGGCCTCTTGAGGCACTTGGATTACAGGCATGTACTACTACGCCCAGATAATTGTGTTCTATTGAATCAACATTATGCTGGGCCCAGTT